CCCCAAAACCCCAAAACCCCAAAACCCCAAAACCCCAAAACCCCAAAACCCCTTATAATAGTATAAGAATTGTTATTACTCTAATTTTATCCCAAAGTTTTATGCTAAGACATAAAAGATGTCAAAATTGCCTTTCCGTATCTGTTATGGAACTTTTCCTTGTTAGTTGGTTCCTCGAGTAAATAAACAAGGGTCTTCAATATCTTTTTTCAAACCCTCAACTTGTTCTTACTCTTTTTAAGTATCAGGATTAGGATATCAAGGAAGTCCATCATTGCTTCATTGAATTTTGGGATAATATTTTCTTTGGAACAGCCCGCTTCATCACCAGGGGGCCTTTTGATCTCCTCTTCTTGCTTAGGCCCAATCTCTTCAGAAATAGATTCACTTCAAGCGATATTAAAAAGGTACATGAGGTTTTTCTCATCCATTCTATTATTGAGCTGTTTCTCGACAATTATGTCCTTCAGGAGATCAATTCCTCCAAGGTCGAACAGAAGGCTCAAGAAGAAGGGATTTCTTTGTAGCAATGCTCATAGAACTATCAGCTCGGATCCTTGACTTGTATGTATAAAACTGAATAATATTGAGAACATATTGTTTCCAGAAAGATATTGCTTCAAATTATGATGCATGATGTAGATAAATTCAGCTTCCTCAGGAATGGGCTTCATGATTTTCCAAGTCTTAAAATTGTTAATTTTAGGCTGCAGCCTAATGTAAAATTCTTTCTGTTGTTGATCAATTCTCAATAAGTGTGACTTGAAGTTGGGAGGCATGTCGTTGTTGTTGGAGAACTGCACCTCATTGATTGAAACCTTGCTTCATTCGTTACTGAAGTTAACCATGGAAGTGAGGTTTACATCAAAAGGCTCTAACTCACTAATGTCAGGAAATTTTAATATCAGTCTCTTTTTGTATTTTTGCAAGTAATGAGTCATTGAATTTTCACACATTTCTCCAGCATTATAGACCAGCTCTCGTTCTTTCTCAGTCAAAGTAGATTTCAAAATTTCAATTGGTGTGATCGATTTGTCTATAGAGCTCAGCTGGAACGTTATTGGCTGCTCCAAATTTCCTGGATACGAGTATGGAATTTGGTTTGTATCAAAGACCATCTGATTATTCAAAAATATTCTGAAATTTTTCTTTTTGTGTCTATATTATCATCCAAAATTCTTACTCAATGTAGACGTGATAAACTTTATTTATCTCAAAGTTGATAGGAATCTCAGCCTTATCTTGAATATATGTATCCTCTTTTGTATAGACAACCTCTAAGATTTTCACAATTTTAGGTCGGGAGAAAGCCTCTCCATAATTTTCTCCTAGATTGCTGGCACCTATTCTATCTTGGATATTAAAATTCTGGAATTCTCTAATGACATTAATTCTAACAGTAACTATCCTTTCTGTCTTGTAGTTTAATGCCGAGATTAGGTTCATGTTGTCATAAAGCTTCTTTAACCTAACCCAGAACGCAAGGCTGAACCCCTTCTTTTTATTAGGAAGATTTGTGATGTAAGGGGAAAGTCACATCTCATTTTCTACCTTTTGCAGAGCTTTTCCTTTTGAAACAAAGGCTGCAAGACCAAAGGAGTCTAGAGTTTCTTTGAAATTAATGTTATTCGGGATATCACAATATTCAATTTGACTGCAGAGCATTACTAATAATTTCTCGTCGACTTCACCTGTCTTGGTCTTCTTAATTAAGGAATAGAGATACATATCATCATCTACTGAGACTCCTTTATCAAGACTGAATGAGATTAGTTTTAATAAGAGATTAAGATATTCTCAATCAAGTTCGTAATCAGGACTATTTTTGTCCAAAGCGTCTCTGTAATACTGATAAATTTTGAGAAAGAACTCTAATATTTCAATTTTAGATAAGACTCTTCTTCACTCACTTCTCTCTTCTATTAGGGGTATGAGACTGAGGAGGAACTCAACTTGTAATTGCTTATCCAGCTGGAACAATATGATAAACATTCAGTTTAGGAAATCTGACTCTATGAATGCAAAAGCTTCTCTAACAGTCTCTTCTATATCATCTTCGACATATGCACAGAAGTTTGCTTGGGAAGCTGATAAGAAATCATTTTCAGTGTAGAAGATGTCGTCTTCATCATCTTTTGGAAGAAACTCAGAAATGTTCATTATGACGCTATCTATCACATCTTTGACAAATTTCATTTCTGAACTATCAAACATACCTTTTATGACAAGTTGATCCTGAACTGGGAAGTACAGCATCTCGTTTGAGAGGCATCACATCTCAATAATATAGCTGATGAGGTTATTTCTGATTCTCAATAGTGATATCACTGACCTTTATGCTGTCAAATAATCTCAAGAGGTCAATTTTACTGATAACCTTTGACTTAAGTTCTTTTGATGTCTCAAGGCATAGTAGACATACAAGGTAGATATTTCTGATCAACTGCTCTTCATTCTCTGATTCGTTTAGCTTCATGATGAGGGATTCCACACCAGTATGTGAATTGATGAACAACTTTTTAAAGTCAAATGAGCTTTTGTTATACTTGTCACTGAACAAGAGCATGAATAGTAACATTCCATATTTTATTGTATGTGGATATTTGAACAAGTAATCCTTGCTCTGGATTATAATCTCAATTGGGTCTATCTCCTTGTGATCTTTGGAACAAATAAGCATATAAACAAAGATGAAAATGATTTGAATCATCCTCTCTTTATATACTTCTTCTCCGAGCATCTTGCTATTCTGGCCAAGCTTTACAAAACAAAGTTGAAGGTCATCAAATATAGAAGGGTTATTGAGCAATATCTTTCTAACATTCTTGTTTAAGGTCCTGTCTTTTACTATTCCGTGCCCTCTGTTCATCTGAAAGAAGGAAGTCTTGTCCTTAGTGGCGTCAAAATCACTAGACAGGTTTGCACTGTGAAGAGTTTTATCGTTTACGAGTAAGATGTTGTGATATATCAATTTCATCAATAAGTTGAAATACTTTGACTGCATTTGGTGATCTGTAGAGGTGATGTTCAAACAATATAAGCAAAAAATATTTCCAAATGTACGAATGAGATCTTTGGAAAACATTGCATTGTATCTTCCGTTGCTAATTCTATGGTTTTTATCTATGGTAATTTTGTAAATAGCGTTTAGCATTTTATCAATAGCATCATCTGGAAGAACATGATGAAAATTTCTTAAGATAGAACTATAGATTTCTGGGCCTGCAAATATCTCAATATCGTTTAGGACTACATTTGAGTATTCCAAAATGCTGTTGATTATATCATAAAATTCCCAATCAAGTTCAGTCCCTTTGAGTGAAGATTTTCTAATTCATTTTATGCTCATCCATGTCATTGTTCTTTTCAACCTCTCTGGTAGATTCTTTAACTTGAGGATCATAAATATTTGATTGCAAAATCATTTTGTCAGGTTGGTAAGAAGTTGTATTATTGACTCCTACACTTGATCTTTGCCTTTTACCGCTTATCTGTATCTCCATTGGAAGCCACATTTCCCATAGAATACTTTCGAGTTGCTTAAATCCATTACAGAGGTAAAATATAACACAGTAGAAACTTTTAAAAGGCTTTTCTCCCTGCAAAATGAAGTCTCCCTTCAATATCTCGTTCAAGAGTTCGAGAGTGTATCTAGTCAACTCTTTATTTGGGATTTCTGTAAGCATCTTCACGAAGTACTCCAGAACATCGATAGTCTGCATGACATCTTCACTTCTTGAAGCAATTTTTAAGTTCATCGACCTTATGATTGCTCTGATCATCTCATCTTGTTCATAATTATCTGAGTCAAGGAATTTAACACCTTCATGGTCTCTGCAGGAGCTTTCAAACAAAACTTTATAGAACTGGTCGAAATTGAATCTGAGATTAAACTCTGTATTTCTAGTGGTGCTACTCTTTCTCTCGTCCGATTCTAAAACTTCTATATTATTTTAGGAACATAACTTGCAACTATCTTACCGATTAGTCACACACTATCTATGAGGTCTTGCAGAAGCTTGATATCTTGGTTTTCTGGGGTCGATTCCTGAGTTTTCAATGAGATATTTTTGGACTATAGGTTTAAAAAGGGTTTTACTCTAGTCAAATTCTTGGTATCTCTTGAACTCTCTTTCCTGAATGTACCTACATCACTATCCCCACGAATTTTGGGAGTTTTAGAAGTTTTCAATTGCTTGTTAAAATTAGATCCCTTTTTATTGTTCTTTTTACTCTTCTTCTCATAAAATTCTTCGTAATTTAGAGCAGTAAATTTTATGTTGTTCATTTGAGAATAAATAGAGATGTACTCAAGTAAATCTTCCATGGTAGGAGGCCAGTTCTTTCTGGTTTTGATTTTCATGTAAGACTTTCTCCCTTCTGTCTGGAGCTGGTCTTCATCTTCTCCAAACTTGTTATCAGCTTGGTCAAAAGGTTCTGAAGGATTTGCAAGATTGCCCATTCTTTCGAAATCACCTCGTTTCATATTTGATTCATTTTGCTCCTCGACGAAGATATGTAATTGTTGTCTGAACAGTCTTAGGATATTTGGGAGGTCAGTCTCAATATCCTTAGTATGGTGGACCGGGCTTGTCACAGCATTTCCAAATTCGTCACAATGTGGTCTTGCTACTCTGCCAGATTTTCCATGAGGGACAGATTTGAACTTCTGATCCATTTTAATGCTTTCACTAACTTCTTTCCCCATACTTTGACCATCTGCCTCTTTTTCTTCTAGATTTGATAGTTAAGCCACAATTTTAAGATAAAAACCTTAGGTCAAAGTATGTGCTGAAATATTTAAGAAACGAGTTCTAATCTTTACCTTCATTTCCCAGATCCTTTATGGGAATATCCTCTGCGTTAAGATACCTAAAATAGGAATTATTCGTGCTCGTAAGAAGGGTTAGTTAGAGATACTTGAATTGAGCGATGATTAAAAGCCCAGCTTACTTGCTAAATTTTAAGTCTACCCATTTAATCAGAAGCTTAGCTGAATCAACGTCGGATTGATCCTTTAAGGTAGCTAGAGGATCACAGTGGTAAGTTTTCCCTTCAAATCCAAGTCAAGAATGTTTGTGATATCTTGGGAACTCTTTATAGTACTCTTGCTACCTATATCAGTATTCATTAATGTTCTAAACACATCTATTAAAGTCATTTGCAGGTTATGTAAAAGTACAAATTAACAATTTCTATAGAATCAATATCAGTAGATAAGCATGTGCAATCATATTTCAGATCAGCTTGGCAGATTCTTGATCAAGCAAGTGATTCTATTCCCCAACTAGTGTACTTACCAACTTCTGATCTTGAAGATGGCTTATCAATCCTTGCTTTATGTAAAGAACTCATGATGGTAAAATTATAATGATTAATATTCAGTTTTAAATTCCTTTCACGGGGTTTTGGGGTTTTGGGGTTTTGGGGTTTTGGGG